ACTGAACCTAAACTTAGAACTCACTCAGAAATTTGACCGGAGGATTTTTATGAAAGCACAAAAGCAATTTAATAGAGGAAATGCAGGCTTTCAATAAATGGTTCTGAAGAAATGGGGTAACTAAAGATGGGAGGAGTAAGGGAACAAGGGTAGAGGAAGAGGAAGAGACTGGGGGAGAGGAAGAGAGGAAGGAGAAGGGGGGAGATGAACAGGAAGTGGGGGAGGGAAGGAGAGGGAAAGTAGTCTCTGCTCAAGTATCATATATCATACTAAAAGGAATTGGAGGGGATACTAAATTTAATGTAAATATAAAAGGGTACATGGGAGGCTTGGGAACGAGACAGGGGGAAGGGGAATAACTTAATAAGGCAGGAAAGAAAAGTTTCACCTACAAAGGACAAGAGGGCATTCTTTTTTTTTTTTTGGTTTTTCGAGACAGGGTTTCTCTGTGTAGCTTTGCGCCTTTCCTGGAACTCGCTTTGGAGACCAGGCTGGCCTCGAACTCACAGAGATCCACCTGGCTCTGCCTCCCGAGTGCTGGGATTAAAGGCGTGTGCCACCACCGCCCGGCTAAGAGGGCATTCTTATGATGGAAATGCTTGACATGTTGACTGCATCAATGTCAAAATTCTAGTTGCCATCAGACAGTGATTTTGCAAGACTGTCACCATTAAAGGAAAGTGGGTAAAGGGTACATGGCATTTTTTTTCTGTATTCTTGCAACTACATGTGAATCTACAACTAACTCAAAAATCTGACCTAAAAAAAAAAAAAAAACTAGGAAAACAGTTGGTTTCAATTTTAGTACACATTTGAACATTTGACTCTAAACAAAAGAGCAAATCTCAGTGTTCCAAAAGAGAAAGGAAAACTGGAGGCCAGAGATGAATGGAAGTCACAGCTGGGTGGCCCTAGGGAGACCCACAATCAGCTCTTCACCAGCAAGGGCTGGAATGGAGGCAAGAATTGACAAGCCAAGACCAGCACATATTTTAATAAGGCAGTATGTAAGAAAAGCTGTGGCCAGGAATTAAATAACCCTTTTTGGCTAGGGAAAAAAAGTTTGCTGACCAGGATACTCAGTACAGAAGGTGAATAAACAATGGTATTGGTAGAAGTAAAGTGTCCCATAAAATCACAAGCCCGGTCCTGTGTGGTGTGGCAGTATGAAATCTTAACTTCTGTACTACCTTTCCAGTACATAAATATGAACTGAAATACAACAGACTCATTGGAAACCAATCCCCTAAGGCCTCCGCCAGCAGCAAACCCCAAACCATGCCTGCTGGGATTCTAACTTTTACTGAGGGTTGCATTCGGAATATAACTCACTAAAGGATTACCTTTCTCCATTGAATGGCTTGGAATAGAACAAATTCACTAAGCTTTTCAAGCAAAACAAACTCCACCATTTCAAAGTTTATGAACATTTTGTGGAGATGAGGTGATGATCATGATTGACAGGTAGTATTCAGCTGAGGATGTGGGTAACTCAGTCTGGATGTAGCTCCCAGAGTGGTGGGGACCTGAGCTACGTGAGAGGAGGCTAAATGAAGAAAGCTGTTCCATAGCTTTATATAAGTGATTTTCTGAGGGTCTTCCCTTTGAAAGCATAGAGCTCTGCTCCAGAGCAGATTAAGAACCCTCATAGACAACTTTAAGAGAAAAAAGAAAGTAAGCAGCCTCCTAAGTCATACACAAAAGACCACACCTGAGCAAAGAATACATGATCACTGAGCCCCAGATGTGAAAAGCAGATATTCTGGTCCTCATGTTGAGTTCCTGTTGTTATGATAAAACAATGACCAAAATCAGCTTGAAGAAGAAATGGTTTTCCACATCACAGCCCATCATCAGGGGAAGCCAGGGCAGGAGTCAGGAGCATGGAGGCATGCTTCAGTAACAGGTACAGAAACCACCGTGAGATGATGTTCAATTGATTGGCCCTCCCATTGCTTGCTCAGGACTACCTATTCACAAGTGTCACCACCAGCAGGTGACCCAGCCCTTCCCACATCAATCAGCAATCAAGAAAATGCCCCCACAGAAATTCCCATAGGCCAGCCTGATGGAAACAATTCTGTAATTGAGGTTCTGTCTTCCCTTGGATCCTCAGTTTGTGTGAAGTTGAAGAAAACTAACTGGTACACCGTGAAAGTGTCCCATTCCCCTAAAAGGCTTCCCACACATGTTCAGTGCAGGATCATCCCTGTGTGAAAGAGAGGACAAATATTCCAAATGTCAGATTGTAGGCATGTGGTCACTTAAAGTCAGATTCAAGTCCATCTACTTCCTTCTGACCAAGACCATTCTAAGGGGGCATTGATAGATTTGGGTATATTAGCTTACACACTTAAAACCAGTTGGTGATGTAGCTTACCAATGGGAAAAATTTGCAAGACTTTTGGTACCATTTTATAGTCACCCATTAATTGCTAGGTTATATGTGAGAATCTCCGAAAGAGCCCCATTGGAGTATTTCTAACAAAATGATCCAGATGATTTGATTCTAAGAGTTAAAATTTTTGCCCTCTTGACTACCTCTGTAGCTTCCTGTACTTAGTATGAATCTGAAATCCGACTCTGAAAATATCCACATGGTGGCTGGTAGTCACTGCTCCTCGAACACTTGGAAGTTGAAAAGATCCTAGCATTCTATCCCTAAAGCAGAGGTAAGGCTTGGTAAGCAATTTCCCTTGAAAAGAGAAAGGAAAGCAGGGGCAATTTAGAGAGGTGGTTCTTGCTGCAGGTTGCTGGTTCGAACTCCCTGAACTCCCTCGGGAGAACAGCTGCATTCCTGCTGGCCAGTGCTGCTAATTAAGATTCAGTCTCCTGGTAACATCTATTGACTGCACTCACCTGGGAAGCTTCACAAAAGACAGGTGCCTGGCTCCACAATCAAACCAATTAAACCTCAGCGCCTCAGACAGAAGATACCAGGTAACGGACACGTTTCATTAATTTTTGGTTAGCACACGAAGAAATGGGTTTTGTTGTGATGTTTTCATTTATACTGTAAGAGCGCTCAGGTGGTCCTAACATTGATCCAGAGCTCAGAACAAATGCTCCAGGCTGAGCTTCTCAGACTTCCATGAACATGAGTCCCAGAGAACAGGTTAGTGATACATTTCTTTTTTTTTTTAAAGATTTATTTATTTATTATGTACACAGAAGAGGGTACCAGATCTCATTACAGATGGTTGTGAGCCACCATATACGTGCTGGGAATTGAACTCGGGACCTCTGGAAGAACAGTCGGTGCTCTTAACCTCTAAGCCATCTTTCCAGCCCCTAGTGATACATTTCAAACAGGCATATCTGTGGTGTATTGGTTATTTGACCTGTTGCTTGGCTAAATCATGCAGATAGAGAGTTCTAAACCATGCAGAATAGGAATTCTCAGTGAAAAGCAGTAATGGGAAGATAGTACAAACGCTTTCTGCAAGAATGCTGGTGTCCTAGGGATTTTGTTTGGCAAACCTCAGAGCAGCCATAACCCTCATGCTTCTGAAACAACTTCCTTTATGAAGAATCTTCATGAAATAGCAGGTCACCAGAGTGTGCCATCCTCTGCTCTGAGCCTGTTTTATCATTGTCTCTACTTTACAGATGGAAAAAGAAGAGGAGGAAGAGGGTGAAGAGAAGGGGGAGGAGGATCTACTGACAGCCCAGGTTCCCACAGGAAGTCTGACGACCAAGTGCATATAGTCAGCCAGACATGCAGTGGGAGTGCAGGTGGCCTCTCTACTCAACTTGAGGGGGAACCTCAGCTAACCTCAGCATGGTTCCTAAGCCATTTCCCATGCAATAGCTGATAGAGCTGTCCCCATGGCTGCAGCTAGAAGTAAAAGGGTAAAGGAATCAATCTTCTACATTCTTGAATTTATCTACCACTATTAGAGACTGAACCCAGGGCTTCAAACATAATATCCAAGTATTCTACCATGCAACCCCACAGCCCCACAAATGTATAAACATGTGTGCAGATTTTGAAAACCAAGCTTTGTCACACTTTGAGAGGCAGTATATACTAATGGGAATGTATGCTGACATTAACCAGCACAAGAAACCTATTCAGCACTTCCAAGCTTCCTCACATGGTCCCTCAAAAAGAAAAAAGTGGGGGAGGAATGGAGGAGGAGGGACTTTATGCAAGCCACATCATCTGTCATGCATTTTTTTTTCTAAAATTAAAAGAAGAGGAGAGGGAGCTGGCATTCATTGAATATAGTTATGTATTAAACACCCTCCTAAGACTTAGCTGTATATTAATGCACTTAATCCCTAGAATACAGTCAGAAAAGTTCTTCCATGAAAGCCAGATAGCATTTTCAGCTTTCAGAGCCATATGACCCTTATCCCAACTGCTCAACTCTCCTGCGTAGTTTAGAAGGGGCCACAGATTTCATGTAAATAGCTGAATATGAATGTGTTTCATTAAAACAACAGATGACCACATTGTTTTCGACCCCTTCTCCGAGCCTGTTTTCTCATTGCCTCCATTTTACAGAGGAAACAAAAAACAAAAGAAACAGAAGAACAACAAAGCCTACTGGCAGTTCCGGGTCCTACAGGAAGTCTGATGACCAAGTACATATACTCAGTTATTACATCCTAGCAGCCACCGTTAGTATTAGTAACATTCTTACTCAGTCCAAATCAGAGTTTCCCAATTCAAAGAAAGACAGACAGACAGTGAACCAACAGGTGACCCTTGAGGCTGACCCAAAGTTACAGACCAACTCAAACTCCCCTTCAGTTTTTCTGGTTTTGTTCCATGCTGTTCTCTCTGCCTTCTTAGAACCCCCTATCCTTCGTACCCTCATTCTCTGCACCTCATAATTGATTAAATTTAACCAGTATCTATATTCTTCCAATTCCTTTGGCAGCCAGGATGGCCCCCACCACAGGGTTCAATTGGCATATGCCCGACTGTGAACCTGTTAGTACCCGGTTTACAGGCTAAGGCAGGGAGTAGAAGAGGGACGTGAGATACTCACCAGTCCTTGGCAGGCACTGAGGGCTGCTGTCCCGATTGTGACGCCCTCCTGCAGAACTGTGCCCCTGAGATGGCAGGGTGAGCCAGAGGAAGCCACCATCTTCACATGGGAAAGGTTCCCGTATCTCTTCTCCACGACATAGCCATTGGAAAGAAATTCCCTGTTGACCGTCAGATTGAAAAACAGGTCTTTTTCTTCGTGTGAAATTCTGTAGTACACCTTGTCCTCAGAGCCGCCCGCGGCTCTCTTCCTCCTGCTGCTGGAGACAGGATGACGCAGTCCGTAAGACAGGAAATGTCCGCTGGCATCTACTTGGACTGGCCCCACCACGTGATATTCGGGCAGGGCCTTGATAAAACGTTCTGCAAGAAAAGGAAACGGAGTAAAATTCAGAGACCCAAGCTGAGTGTAAGCAAGACAAACACACTCCCATTTGGGGTTGAGATTGCAGCTTGCTGATTGCAAAACCACCACTGCCTTAAAGTGTAGAGAATGTTTCCCCCACATTAACACTGTCAACATAAAACTCCCTGAGCTACTAACATGTGCATAGTATCTGTCCTCAGTGGTGTGCAGCAGTCTGAGCTGACCCTCAGTAGACCTTTGGGTATCAGCCATTCTATCACAGTCGACTTAAGATGAGATTTACTTCATGAGGAATACTGCAAGGAAAGAAGCAGGATCAGTACGCCAAATAGGACATTGCCAGGGTAGGGTTCACTAATGTGATCTACAGAGATCCACAGTTTATGACATGGTTCTTCAGTCCTCAAGAACTCCGGCTATGTCAGGTTACAAAAAACATAAACAGTGAACTCATCACACATGATCCCAGATAAACCTCAACAAACCTCACACCTATGACAGCATCAGAGGGGCCCATGATGTAGCAGGGTACTTAAAGTAGACTTAGGGTTTAAAACACACTCAAAGTATACTTGAGCGACCCCAAAGATTCCACCAAGGAACTGATACAGCTTATAAACACCTTCAGCAACATAGCAGGATACAAGATCAACTCAAAAAAATCAGTAGCCCTCCTATATACAATGGACAAAGAAGCGGAGAAGGAAATCAGAGATACATCTCCCTTTACTATAGCCACAAATGACATAAAATACCTTGGGGTAACACTAACCAAGCAAGTGAAGGACCTATATGACAAGAACTTTAAGTCCCTGAAAAAAGAAATTGAAGAAGATGTCAGAAAATGGAAAGATCTCCCATGCTCATGGATAGGCAGGACTAACATAGTAAAAATGGCAATCTTACCAAAAGCAATCTACAGATTCAATGCAATCCCCATCAAAATACCAACACAATTCTACAGACCTGGAAAAAATAATACTCAACTTCATATGGAAAAACAAAAAACCCAGGATAGCCAAAGGAATCCTGTACAATAACACAACTTCTGGAGGCATCACGATCCCTGACTTCAAGCTCTACTATAGAGCTACAGTAATAAAAACAGCTTGGTACTGGCATAAAAACCGACATGTGGACCAATGGAATCGAATTGAAGACCCTGACATTAATCCGCACACCTATGAACATATAATTTTTGACAAAGAAGCCAAAAGTGCACAATGGAAAAAAGAAAGCATCTTCAACAAATGGTGCTGGCAAAACTGGATATCAACATGTAGAAGGCTGCAAATAGATCCATATCTATCACCGTGCACAAAACTTAAGTCCAAGTGGATCAAGGACCTCAACATAAATCCAGCTACTCTGAACCTGCTAGAAGAGAAAGTAGGAAGTAGTCTTGAACGCATTGGCATAGGAGACTACTTCCTAAATAGAACACCAGTAGCACAGACTCTGAGACAAACAATCAATCAATGGGACCTCTTGAAACTGAGAAGCTTTTGTAGAGCAAAGGATACGGTCAACAAGGCAAAGCGACAGCCTACAGAATGGGAAAAGATCTTCACCAACCCCACATCTGACAGAGGACTGATATCCAGAATATATAAGGAATTCAAGAAATTAGACATCAAAATGCCCAACAGTCCAATTAAGAAATGGGCTATAGAACTAAACAGAGAATTCTCAACAGAGGAAACTCAAATGGCCGAAAGACATTTAAGGAACTGCTCAACATCCCTAATCATCAGGGAAATGCAAATCAAAACAACTCTGAGATACCACCTTACGCCTGTCAGAATGGCTAAGATCAAAAACACTGAAGACACCTTATGCTGGAGAGGATGTGGAGCTAGGGGAACTCTCCTCCACTGCTGGTGGGAATGCAAGCTTGTACAACCACTTTGGAAATCAATATGGCGCTTTCTTAGAAAACTGGGAATCAATCTCCCCCAAGATCCAGCTATACCACTCTTGGGCATATACCCAAGAAATGCTCAACCACACCATAAGAGCACTTGTTCAGTTATGTTCATATCAGCATTGTTTGTAATAGCCAGAACATGGAAACAACCCAGATGCCCTTCAACTGAAGAATGGATAAACAAAATGTGGTACATATACACAATGGAATACTACTCAGCAGAGAAAAACAATGGCATCATGAGGTTTGCAGACAAATGGATGGATCTAGAAAAAATCATCCTGAGTGAGGTAACCCAGACTCAGAAAGACAAACATGGTATGTACTCACTCATAGCAGGATACTAGACATGAAACAAGGATGACTTGTCTGCTACTCACATCACCAGGGAGGCTACCTGGAAAACAGGACCCCAAGAAAGACACAGGGATCACCCAATGACAGAGAAATGGAATGAGATCTACATGAACAGCCTGGACATGAGTGGGGGTAATGAAAGGCGAGGGTTGAGGGAAAGAGAGCTTGGGGGAGCAGGAGATCCCAGCTGGATCAACAACAGAGAGGGAGAACAAGGAATAGGAGACCATGGTAAATAAAGACCACATGAGAATAGGAAGAAGCAAAGTGCTAGAGAGGCCCACAGAAATCCACAAAGATACCCACACAACAGACTGCTGGCAGTGGTCGAGAGACAGCCCGAACTGACCTACTCTGGTGATGGGATGGCCAAACACCCTAATTGTTGTGCTAGAAACCTCATCCAACTACTGAGGGATCTGGATGCAGAGATCCATGACTAGGCCCCGGGTGGATCTCTGGGAGTCCAATTAGCGAGAATGAGGAGGGTTTATATGAGCGAGAATTGTTGAGACCAAGGTTGGATAAAGCACAGGGACAAATAGCCAAATGAATGGAAACACATGAACTATGAACCAATGGCTGAGGGGTCCCCACTGGATCAGGCCCTCTGAATGGGTGAGACAGTTGATTGGCTTGATCTGTTTGGGAGGCATCCAGGCAGTGGGACCAGATCTTGTGCTCATTGCATGAGTTGGCTGTTTGAAACCTGGGGCCTATGCAGGATTGTTTGGCTCGGCCTGGGAGGAGGGGACTAGACCTACCTGGACTGAGTCTACCAGGTTGACCTCAGTCTGTGGGGAAGGCTTTGCCCTGGAGGAGATGGGAATGGGGGGGGTTGGGGAGAAGGTGAGGGGGACGGGAGGGGTGAGAACAAGGGAATCCGTGGCTGATATGTAGAACTGAATTGTATTGCAAAATAAATTAATAAAAAAAAAAAAACACACTCAATAAAAATGATAATGAGGGTTGGGGATTTAGCTCAGTGGTAGAGAGTTTGCCTAGTAAGCGCAAGGGTTCAGTCCTCATCTCTGGAAAAAAAAAAAATGATAATGAAACATCCTTGGATCTAAGGCATTGGCTCAAATGATGAAAACTGCCACTCTGGAAATGCATTTTGCTGAGTCGTTGATGGTTCGGTTTACTTAGTCTATAACCCAGAATGACAACTGTCTACTCATTAGATCCATTGTTATTTGAGAACATCAAAGTACCAAGATGTACAGAGATTCTAATGGGAACAGTTGGTCCTGCAATTCACCAGAAAATTCATTTTGATTCACCCAAATATCATCCTTTGCAAAAAAAGGAGGGGAAGAAAGAGAGGCCATGGAGTGGGCAAGGAAATGGGAACCAGGAAATCTTGGAAGAAGCAGGAGGGGAGGGGAGGGTGGGGAGGGGAAGGAAAGGGAAAGAGGGAAGATTCTCCCTGATACTTTCTAGTGTGCACTACATTACTCACATTATTCCCACAACTGTAAGGCCTTTTGCATTCTATCAGAATCCCATTTATGCTTTAAGATCAAAAAGTGAAATTCAAAGCTCTAGGCATGGTGATATGAAATAGAAGGTCAAGAATTTGAGACTAATCTGAGTTACACGGTGAGACCTTCCCTCAAAAGACAAAAGAAGAACAGAGTCTGGCTCTCCTTTTCCATTCTAACATCCCCAGACAGCTGAAACTCTAGTTTTTTCCTCTGAGGGCTCATTCCCTTACTTTCTGTATTTCCCAGGATGGCTTTATTTCACACTGCCTTTTCTTTACGCTATTACATCTTCCTGATACTATCTGAGGCAGGATCTCAGCATTACAGGCTGTATATCATGTACTGACAAGTCAGTGAATATCCATGTTGATGGTCTTTGAAAGAACTAGACTTGATGGAAAGCAAGAAGGAGCTTTTCCTCATAAGCAAATTCCTTCAATCCTAATTTTTTTTTTACCCATTCTTCTCAGGCTTCAATGAAATATGGGGCAGTGCACAGAGAGTCCACTTTCAGAAATCAACAGGCCTGTTCTAACTGCAACATTTAGGCACAAACCACATAGAGTAAATCTTATAAACAGTTTAATAAGAATTTAATAAAAATCTAGTAAACAATGTTTAATGAAAAATAAGAAGCAAGAAAAATCCACACAGGGCTACTGATATTAACGGAAAACACACACACACACACACACACACACACACACACACACACACACACACACACACAATTAAGTTTTCCAAAACACATGCAAACAAAAAAACTACATATGGAACTCATTTGAAGGGTTTTCCATGGAGAATGATGACCAACCTCCCCAAAAAATACATCAATAACTAAAAAAAATAAAAGTTGTCAACAAACTGATGACGATAGTGTCCTATGAACTGAGGAATATAACCAACTTGCCCCTCACACATTTACCTCCCATTCACTCCTCCAGAAATGTCTGGACCAATCCAGGGTTGGCACTTTGCTGCCCTTCCACGTTCAGACCCGAGTTAAGAGCAGGGCAGCCAGGCAGGATGGTGCAGATATAGTTAACTTCTGCAGCACTGTCTCCCATTGCTCTGAACTACTGTTACTTCAAGAGAGGCTGCAGCACTGGAGGACCACCATGGCCAAAAACAGTCTTCCTCAGCTGGGGGAGTGCTGAGATATGGTTACTCTAAAGACACTAACCACTTTTCTCAAAAGAAGTTCTCTGGGGGAGGGGCGCTAGGGCGATAGCCTCGGTCAGTAAGGTGCACGAAGATCCGAGTTCAACCCCAGCATCCGTGTAAAAGTGAGGGTATGGTGGTGTCCACTAACAATCCTAACACTGGGGAGGAAGAGATCTGAAGAGCCCTCTGGTTCCTTTGGAAACCTTAAGTGATGAGTTCCGACCCAAGAAAAGGTGCTGCTGTGAGTTAGATAAACCTCTTTTCTGAATATATCCACCAGCTCAGGTAATTTGTGATAGAAACAGAAAATGGACTAAAACATTTTTCTTGGCGTCTACTCTCATCTCAGATAAAAAGAGAGGTTTGGACTCACACCTGTGAAATCTGAGCTCAGAGCTCCCCTTTACATTCCATCCTGACTGCCTCTGGTGGTTCCATCCACTTGGGATCATTAAGACTGGGGGAAGGGCAGGGCAGTGAGACAATATAACCAGATCACAGCCTGCATAGGCACTTGTGGAAACAAATGGCAAGCCTTGATTAAAATTAGATTTGAAAACCTAAACCTCAAGTCTCAATTACTTGAAACTATAGTAAAGAAGCTTCATGAGACGTTCTAAGAGCAGCCTGTGGGTAAGTAGTGTTTCGAAAAGACAAAACAAGCACCAAGCAATCATTTGCCTTCAGCTTAGGAAGAAAAGTGGAGTGTGAGAGAACATTGATCTGCTTCCGTGAAGTTTAGCTTAGATCTACATATCCTGGTTTAGGGAACTAACAGATGAGTAAGTGCATTGTCTCTGCTCAGCAGCCATGCTCCTCTTTTCTGTATAAACCCAATTTTTGTATAAGTTCTGCTAGAGAGGGAACATCCATATCCATTCTCAATTATTTCTATTATTAGTAGCTGAATATCTCAGACTCTTTATTTATTTAAAAAGTTGTTACAAGTCCTATAATACAGGTTTATTTCCATAATTATCTTCCACAGGTTGTTTTCACTGTACAACTATTTCATTATAGACACCAGTAAAATTGATTGGCTTTGTTTTGTTTGTTTGTTTTTAAAAAAAATGGTTGACTTTGTTTACTAACCATATAATAATGTATCTACTGACCAGATAATTTATTATAAATAACACACAGTGACATAATTGTGAATCTCTTCCTACAATAAAAAAAACTAGAATAATTTCCTTCTTATAGATTTGTTTCCACATAGCAGAAATGAAAGATAATAGATTTTCTCCATGATCTTCTATAAGCCTGTGTAGTCAGAGCCCATCTCCAAAATGAGATAAAGCACATGTCCTGCAGATGTCACAGAGTCACCAAGAGCAAAACGGAACATGGGAGTGACCAGGGCCTTGTAGACGGCATGGGTGGCTTTTGAACTACAATGGCCTGCTTTCTAGTTTTCTCACTCTATAATGTCACAAGAGCAACAATTAACTTGGAATTTTGATCTTCTCTGGGATTAGATATTGGAAGTGCTTCTCTTACAATGCTGGGCAGCAGCAGTGATAAAGATGGCAGTCAGCCACATGGTCACAAGAGTGGCCACCCATGCTCTACAGAATAGTGCTGCTAAGCTGTGGTGTTGTGTAAGTTGAGTGTGTTAAGGGGCATTTTATATAACAATATTTGCAACTTCTGATGGGCTATTGGCAAGTAACCACATCACTTGTCAGGAAGTGTCTGTAAAGAAAAAGCTAAATTCGGGGGCCATTGTTTGATATAGAGGAGAGGAAGCATGTTGTATGCAAAGCCAGGTATCTTATTATTTTGATATTTGGTTTGCACAGAATCATGGTTTTAGTTCTGGGCTGTAAATCAAGAAAGCCTGGAGAGGCATAACACATCTTTACACCAATTGACTGATGTGGGAAGAGGGCTCTGCAGAATTAGCCCAGTCTGTCCTGGAAAGGGTTAGATTCATCACCATATTCTTTCTGGGGACCTTTAATATTTATGTCCCTGGTGCTGGGAATGGAACCCAGGGTCTGGCACATGCTAAGCAAGCGCCCTGGGGCTGAACTGTAGCCCAGCCCAGAGCTAAAACCATGATTCTGTGCAAACCTGAGAACTGGAAAGGATGTGCAAGGTTAACTAGTGTGTAGACCCCTTTCCAGCTGCTCCATGACTCTTTTCACCCCCTGGCTAAGTAGTATTTCCTAAGTGTTCAATACCTACATGCAAATCCAATCAACTGGGGAAAATGAGGATGGGTGGGATGATCTCTGAGTTTGCAACTCTGAATATTGGGAATTTGGGTGCAGCTCAAAAACCCTGTCAGAGTAGAAATGGAAGGGCATCTGGGATCACATCCAGGTCTGTTCCCAGGAAGCTTTAGAATGTCCTGTTATGTCTCCTGGCCTCTCTTGCTTTCCTCCCCTCCTCTCTCTCTCTCCTCTCTTCTATTCTCCTTCCTCTCCTCTCCCTTCTTCTCCCCTCCTCTATTGCTCTCCTCTTCTCTCCCCTCTTCTTTCTCCCTCTCTCCTCTCCCCTCCTCTATTGCTCTCCTCTCCTCTCCCCTCTTCTTTCTCCCTCTCTCCTCTCCCCTCCTCTATTGCTCTCCTCTCCTCTCCCCTCTTCTTTCTCCCTCTCTCCTCTCCCCTCCTCTATTGCTCTCCTCCCTCTTTCCCTCAGTTCTAATGGAACTCACTAAGAAATTTCTTCTTAGCACAAAGAATTAATTACTTGTAAAAGCATTAATGAAGATTGATGAAAAGATCAATGCTTTTAAAAACTGAAAGTATCTTTAAATCTAAATATATTTGCATCATTAATACGCTTAGTGAACTTTAGAGCTACTTCTGAATATCAAATATTCTCATCATATCCCACAAAGGTCACTAGGGAAAGAGTCATATCTCACTTTCCAGAGGAACAAGACTGGCCCAGCAGTGTCTGCTCTACACCACGATAAATTTTCCCTTACAAACATGCGAAGCAAGCGGAATTGGAAAAGTAACCCAGCAGAATGTCTTTGAAGGAAATTATCTCCGCATGCCCTGGGAAGTGCTGGCGGGCTTTGTTTGTGCTACCCCCGAACAGGGACCTTTCACAAAGGCACTGTTTTTCAAAGAACAACAAAAGCTGCTATTTTAAACTTGGGGGCTTGAGATTGTATCTGGAACGTTTACACAAGCAAGTGCTGGCTGATTGACATCCAACCCCAGTGTTTGCCCACTCTGGCTTCCAAGTCAAGCAAAGGGAGGGAGGGATTTGCATCTGGTTGCTCTCTAAGCCGCCCCAGAGGAATTCTCCAGCAGCATTTGACTTTGCAACGTGGACAGAAAACACTGTCTAGCAATACCTTAAACACGGACAAGTGCATGCATGTGTTTCCCTGCTCTTGATGTCAGCATGGCTGCATGACTTTAAGTCAGGACACCTGGTTCAAAACGGTGTTTCACAAGGTCTCCATGTTCCAGCTTCCCCATTTGTAAACCAGGCATGGTAGCCATAGCACCTGAACTCCAGAAGGGCATTGTCAGTAGTGGGAGAGGCTAACAGGACATCTCTGTGCTCGGACACTGCCCCCCTCACCCCCGACCCCCGCGCGCCGTTCAATACCGCAGCAGTCCTCTCTGAATTCTTCAAAGTTCAATAAAAAAACAGAAGCGATTTTTTTTTTTTTTTGGTTTTTCGAGACAGGGTTTCTCTGTGTGAAGCGGGCTGGAGAGATGGCTCAGGGGTTAAGAGCACTGACTGCTCTTCCAGAGGTCCCGAGTTCAATTCCCAGCAACCACATGGTGGCTCACAACCACCTGTAATGACATCTGGTGCCCTCATCTGGCCTGCAGGGATATGTGCAGGCAGAACACTGTATATGTAATAAATAAATCTTTAAAAAAAAAAAAAAAAAAAGGGTAAGAAAAAAACAGAAGCAACATCATCACTTTGCCCTGGGCATTAGGCCTAAAATAACAGTAATAATAATAATAATATCATTGTTAATAATATTAGTTATTTTTTTATTATTATTAAACAACTGCAAACTATCTTCACAGTCCCCCAGTGCTTTCTCTCAGAACACACAGATCACAAAATTAAGAAAGAGAAAAGTCTACAAAGCAGGCAGAGAAATGCGAGTCCCCGGGACGTAAATTTCTCCCCAATAGGGATGTCATTTGAAAAAACAAAACTCTAAATCTTTCCAGGAAACCCAAACACAGCCAAGTGTGCTCAGCAGGGGGCCAGAATAAAATTTCTACCTTCCAGATCCGGCGTTTAAAATTGAGGAAACATTGCTATGACTGCCTGTGGCCAGCTGGGTCTCTTTAATAAAAATAAATTTCCATGTTAGAATCTGGGATGGGGGAGCTGCAACCAGGAGGGGGCAGGGGCGGGCGGTGCTGGTCGGGGAGCTAGCTCTTGGGTCTTTCAAAGCAAGGGTGTCTGTCACCCCTCGGTGGCCAGGGAAATACACATAAGCCCCAGGTCAGAAGAAAGTCAGAGACTGAGCCCACAATCCAGTTTTCCTTAGACAGGCCAGAAGGCTCAGAGTTCAGCCCTGACTGGTGGGGGAAGGGGTAGGGGACAGACCAAGTTCCACTGTCCTACCACCAGGGCTTGAAAAATAAATAAAGAAAAGCCACTAACCTTGCCTCGGGTCTGGGAAGCGAACCGGGACGGGCTGAGCTTGTCTCCCGTGGCAAAAAGCCCCAAAGCTAAGAAGCTGAGCCACCATCAAGAGCTTTGCCAGCCAGCTCCTCTGAGCACATGGCATGGTTCAGTTGTTGGGGGAAAGAAAAGTCAAAAAAAAGTTTTAGCTCTCAGCTGCAGATACCGAGCCCTCGCCTGTGGCCGCGCAGGAAGCGGCTACGGGGCATGGTCCAGGCGTGGGAAGGGAGCGGCCAGCAAGCTGCCCGCGGAGCTCAAGTGGCTTTTTAAAGCAGAAGGGGGCCAGAGAGCTTGTCTTCTCTCCCTTTGCTGAAGGGTAGTGAATGAGCTGAGAGCTTCTACTTTCTGCAGGCCAGAGCGTGGCCTGGGTCCGAGCCAAGGGGCGCAGCCCACCCCAGATCCCCGCCCCTCTGCTTTCCCCACCCGCCAGGCCTCCAGCCAGCACGCACATCTTCCTTCGGGACGCCCTCCTCCCTCAAGCTCCTCCCTCCAGGCTCAGAGCCTGGGCCCGCGGGCCAAATAGGGGAGACCCCAGACAGCTGTCTGGGAAGGCACTAGAGTAAGAGCCAGTCAGAGGCTCCTAAGGTACCCAACCCCCGCCCCACCACACACCACACACACACACACACACACACACACACACACACACACACACACACACGGAATGAAATGTACGCATGAATAGTGAGTTATGGGCCAGAGGGGACCCCCGCTTCTCAGCTCCTCCCAGACCCTGAACTTACCCTATTCTGTCAAGACTCCCACCCACTAGCAACCCACTGGGATTTTTCTTCCAGTGCAGGCTAAGATTTCCAATTAACAATTAATAGGCAATTTTTCCCTTCGCCAAGTCACACAGGAAATGATCCAAGCTAATGTGCTACCTTGACCCTGGACACGTCTGTCTCTTCATCTGTGGGATGGGGTGACTGGAGAAATGCCTGGGAGGCCTTCTGAGGCTGCAGGTCAATGCCTGCTTTCCTATTTTCAAAACTCATCTCTCTTACTTCATTTCCACAAGACCAGCATAGCAGAGAAAGGAGTCAGCCCAAGCCGGCCTTGAGCATGTATGCATTTTACCAACATTGGTTGCCCCTGTGTGTGTGTGTGTGTGTGTGTGTGTGTGTGTGTGTGTGTGTGTGTTGGTATGGTGTGTGTGTGGTGTGTGTGTGTGGGGGGGGTGTGTGTTGCTTGTGTGTGGTGCGTGTGTCTGTGTGTGATGTATGTGGTATGTATGGTGTGTGTGTGTGTGTGTGTGTGTGTGTGTGTGTGTGTGCAGTGTATATGGTGTGAGCATGTGTGTGTGTGTGTGTGTGTGTGTGTGTGTGTGTGTGTAGGGGTGGTGTTCATTCAGATGCTCAGACTTTCTCATCAGTGAGAGAATGCCACAAGGCAGGAGTTGCTAGGCATCTTGAGAATTTACTAGGATAACCCAGCCAAAATTCTTTACCTCTGGGTTGAAACAGACCTCCTTACTACATTCAGAAGGAATTTAGCCTCCTATATGGAGGTCTCTTTGGCTGACAGCCAATCACATTCCTTCAACAAGATGTCTGGGATGTCAGCTCACTCCTGGCCTTGGATAGCGATAGAGCAGCCAAGCCATCCCCAGGGGTCCAAAATGCAAGGTCTGAGATGGGAGGTCCCAAGGACTTCATCCTGGGAAACAGAGCTATCAAGACCTTCTGAGGAATGTCAGCTTTCTCCTTTGGGCTAGTGCAAATTTACAAATGTATTGCCTCAAAACAACACAGATTTATTGTCTTCAGTTCTGGAGATCTGAAACAGAAGTCACTGGGCTAAAATCAAAGAGCTGAATTCCTGTCTGGAAGTCTTAGGGAGAATCTACGTCCAGGCCTCTTTCAGCTTCCGGCTTCTGGAATTCTCTAGCTCCTAGAACGCCTTCCCTGTCTTCAAAGTCAGCAATGGTTGGTCAGGTCTTTCCCATTAATGTTTCTCTGACTCTCTTCATTTTTGCCTCTCCTCACCCTTTCTGAGTACATTGGGTATCACCCTCATCATCAGGATCATCTCTTTGATCTGACTAGTGTGCTGACTCCACCTGCAACCTCAAGTTCCACATGCCATGTAGTATAGCATGCTGTGTCATGATAAGGAAGCCAGGGAACTGTGTGGCTGAGCCTCTATTCCTATCACACAAGCAGGAAGAATCAAGTTCATATCCCGAGTCAAAACAGCTGAAATTTAGTGGGGCACTATGGCCTGCCAGATATGTGTTTACAAGGTCATTAAAAAAAAACCTTTGAGCTGAACTCTTATGCATATACTCTTTTAATTCTCTACTCCCTGCCCCCAGCCTTGTGCTCCTCCTTCTCTTCTTCCTCCTTTTTCTTCTTTTAAGAGCAACCAGATGTTTTCTGAAGACCGAGCTCTCCTCTGGCTCCCGTGCCCTGGAAGGAAGTCTGTTTCTTAAACAAGAAGTCAAAGGACTCTGTGGTGCTTTGGAGTTCTCCCTATGTCAAGGATGAGCCACTGAACTCTGGCTTTGCAGATTAACTTCTTCAACCCTGGTACTATCCTCCTGATCTTCTAACCCAGCTATTTTCAAGACCATGCTAGGTTTGGATGTGGACAGTGTCCCCCAAAGGCCCATGGGTTAAAATAAAACCTCCCCCCCCCATTTCTAGGGTAGTAGTACTGGAAGGTACTGTGAACATTTATAAGATGGAGACTTGTGTAAGATCTTTAGTCACTGGGGACAGGGCATCCAAAAATTTATACGATATTTCTAGTCCCTCGGTCTCTCTGTTTCTTAGCTGGTAGCATGATTCATTTGTTCATACATGTGCTTTTTTACTCTGCTTCCTGTTGATCTCACCACAGGTCTATAGCCATGGGCTGTGGTTCATAGCATGAAGTCTTGGACTGAAATCTCAAATAAGCCTTTTTCTTAATCATTTTAACTGCCCCAGGTAGTTCACTGCAGTAAGACAATGAATATAGACTAGGAACATCATTCACTGAGAAGTCATCCAAGACTAAAAACTCCAAATACAAAATCCCACTAAAAAGCCTTTTATTCTGTCAGCCCGTTCAACACCTTGTAGTCAGTGCAGTGGTCCTTCAGACCAAATGGACTTTCTCACCTTGGTCTCTCCAACCTAGGTTTTCAAACACCTATAAGCTCTCTCTGGCTCATTTCCTTTTTGTCCAGTGATAACTCTATGACCTACTTCCTTAAACAAGTGCCTTTAAGATTTCACATTTTCTTCATCAAAATATAACTTTGTTCCACCAAGTGCTGACTTTCATTGCTCTTTGTTGGACAGATGCTCATCGTTGCCCCCAGTGGTGCCATCAACAATTCATTTCTCCAACCTTCCCAGCGTGGCTCAGAACAAGCATGTACTTTGTTACTATTCTATCACCAAGTTCCCCCCACTCTTTCCAGCATTTATAAAATTCCTCTGAAGTTTGAAGCTTTCTCAGAGAAAACCTAATCTTCCCCAACTTCTCCTCTGCTCAGTAGTGACTGATATTCAAGTTTGTTTGATTATTTGCTTGTTTTTCCAGACAGGGTATCTCTGTGTAGTCCTGGCTGCCCTGGAACTCCCTCTGTAGACCAGGCTGGCCTTGAACTCACAGAGATCCACCTGCCTCTGGTTCCTGAATGCTGAGATTAAAGGCATGCACCACCACTGTGCGGCATATTAAAGTTTTTAATTGTCATACACTGCTGTAAAAAGCCAACTGCCTTTCATAAGCACTATAGAGAACAGAACTGTCAATCACTGCATAACCTCTCAACCATCCTTGACTTGATGCAAATGTGCTGCCTTTGAGGGGAAACTACAAAAACATGCATGGTTCCAGAGTAGAATGACAGCTAAGAGTAGAGAGCATCCATTGATGCTAAGCATACTTGGTGTTGCACTAACAACTCTATCTACATCACTTCCTTTAATCACTACTTTTTGTAAAAAAAAAAAAAAAAAAAAAAACCTAGTAGGCGGGTACTATTAGTATCCTCATGCTGCAGGGAACTAGACACTGAAACATTAAGTAACTTGCCTTGGTGACTAGGAGATGAATAATCAGGGTGAAACAGTGGAGTCAAGACACTTAGAGACTTAGATCACTACACAGGTCCAAAGGCAGCTCCATATCTACTGGGGGAAATGACCTCTTGGAATGTCCTCACTCAAAAGGCAGAGAGGCTAACAATAGCAAGACATGCTTCGACGTCATCAGAGTGCCTTGGGTAGTGTCCTAGTTTGCTTTCTGTTGATATGATAAAGACCATTATCAAAAACAATTTGGGGGAAATGAATCTTTTTTTTTTTAATTTTTGGCTTATACTCATCTTGACCACAGTTCATTGTTGAGAGAGGCCAGGAAGAACACAACAAAACAGGAACCTGGAAGCAAGAACTGAAGCAGAGCCCATGGAAGAGAGCTGCCCACTGACTTTATTCGTGGCTCAGTGGACTTGCTTTACTTTATATATCCAGGATTATCTCCTGAGGAGTAGTGCTGTCCACAGTGAGCTGGGCTCTCTCACATATATCGTTTATCAGGAAAATGCCCCATATACTTGTCAACAGGCAATCTGATGGAGGCAGCCTCTCCATTGAGGTTTGCTCTTCGCAGATGACTCCAGCTGTGTCGAGTTGACGGAAGCTAACCACCACAGGTAGTTTAATTCACTACATTAAAACATTTTCCACATAAACATATAAATTATGACAAAAGATTTAGGATACCTTTCAAAAAGTTCCCTCTGTTCACACTTTTTTTTAATATGGCTGAAGGACAAGAGAAATTATCTCACTGTATCTTTCATATTTGTTATTGTCCTTAACACTGGAAAGACAAAGGAAACTGATACACGGGGACACACACACACACACACACACACACACACACACGACTTGGCCCCAAGAATTGCAAATGATTACGCCACAAAAAGACATTTCACATCTGCCAGCTCTGTTTAAACACTACAATCACTATCTCAATTGCTATTTTCTTTTCAACATCTCTGTAGCCCTTGAAATAAGATGGGAATTGATCCTTGTAACCTTCAGGAGAATCAATGCACTTTTATTCTTCCAGCCAATTGTATTAAATGAGTAAGTGGGTCAATAATCAACAACTTTGCACACTCCCAATCCCAGAGAGTTTGTATTCCCAAATCAGCTTAAAGACCTTGTATTCTATTTGTCACAGGTTATATACAGCTTCCTAACTTTCCAGTTAAGTGGTACCATTCTGGCTGGATCATTCTTCTGACGCTATAATTAATCAGCTTAATTAATGAAGCAATGTCATAGCAATGCCCCTTG